AAACGGAAGCACTACAAGAAACCTTCCCGCTTCAGAAAAAACGCGGATGACTGTCAGCAAAAACCCTGTTAGGATGGACACGAGTGCAGTGGTAAATATACGCCTTGCTGTGACGTTGACACGGTGCCAGTAAGGGAATTGAAGAGCGAGGAATTTCTCTAAGTTCATACCAGCAACTATGATGTCAGATACGATCGATGCACTTAGAGTAAATCCTACCAAAACAGGACATTTCAGGTCGTGTTCCATTTGGTAATTGATTTCCTTCGAAATGAAAAACGCGCCACCAATTCCAGCTTTGACCAGATCGTTTGCTGCCATAATACCAATCATGACATTGCTTTGGGTTCTTAGAGATGGTTTCTTATAAAATGCTAAAAGCACCAAAGAGTTGAGAACAACAGCAAAAGGACAAGCGGCTCCAGTCGTTATTACAGCTGCGAGGGAAGCTTTGAGAGAGGCAGGCGTTGCCAAMTGTGGATWTTTTAATTCTCCAATGGAGTTGCAGATACTAAGAGAAAATTGTTTGTTGTTGAATGCAGACGTGTTGTTGAAATTAGCAGACTGCATTTTTGGATGAAAACGTGTACTCTTTGAAGGGCAAGTTGTACTGATAAAAACCGCCTTTGATTTCGTTAATATCCTCTTTTTTGTATAATGACGTTGGAACGCTGCATTGGTGGATTTTAATGCAGGAAGCCAACAGCGTAATTACTGGCAGGCTCTTAAACAAATTGCTTTCTTTAATTTACCATAGCAATAATTCTACTAGCGACATGCACTTGATAACACATGTAAGAAAAAGTCCATGTCTGATCTCTAGACGTATTACCGTATTATTATGCACTATGCACTATATTTTTCAATTTTTAGCGTTGATATTTATTATTATTATTATTTTTTTATTTTTTAATTATTATATTCATTGTAAATGCTATTATATGACAAATGAATTGAAGACTAACATATCAAATGACTGATCTTAAGGAAGAGGCAAATATATACTAACACACCTGCTCTAGTTTCTTGTCTGTATTCCGTGGTTTTATGCGAGAGAAAACAACAGGTTATTACTAGAACAGTAATTATTACTCGGGGTTTCCCGAGTATAGGTTTGGGCTTTTTTTTCGTCGTCGTATTTCGGTCACAAATCTCGGCCTAATGCACTGGGTACGAATGTTAAGCCTATCACATGACGACCACATGACTGCATTCACAACTTCCATGTGCTATTTTATGGTGGCGAGTGTGATAACGTGCGGTGAAGGACATGGATTCAACTTTAAATACGCTCAAATCACTTACAAATCCACACACCATTCGCGGTATAGCCACACTAAAAGATGTCGAGCGTTTTTCGAAAGTGCATTTTGAGAGATACCGCGAATTTATCGTGAAATTTATCGTGAACTATCTATCCAACAAGCTACCTATCTTATCAAAAGCGAACTCTATACTAACTGGTTATACAGGCACTGAAACTACAAAGGACTTCTCTAAACAATTCGAAAAGAGTTCTACTGACGAAAAACCGATTGGAAGTATTTTATTTAGCGGAGAAGATAGAAGAGTCTGTGTTTATAGCCAGCCATGTGACTACTATCAAAGTGAGGACGGCTTGCCAAAGATTATCAATTCTTCCATAATATTAATACTAAGTACAATGCTTCTGTTATTATTTTTCATTCCAGGAAATATTTTTAGCCTTACACTTTTGATAGTGTTAATATTAACTTTATTAGGGTTCAATACAGTCCAATTCTTCGACTACTACACTCAAACTATTGTCACTTCATCGCTTAGTGATTGTGATATCTTAGATAAAACTATTTGTTTGACTGCTTATGGTGTATACAATGATGCAGAAGTCACAATAAAGATTTCAAGTACTACAAGATCTCGTTATTCAAGGTTTGTTTATTATGATTATCGACATATACGTTGTAATCGTACTCGTGAGCCCAGTAGGATCCCAAAACGATTTCTAAGACGCTTAAATCACAAAAGTAGAAAGCTACGATGGGTTGTTTATCACCGAATTTGTCGCGATATTCCCAGATCTTCTAAGTTACATAACTATATCAGAAAGCTTAGAAGAAAGCACTTTGTCTCAAAATTCAAGAGGATTGATGCACGAACGTATACATCTGAAGGACGAAAGTTGAAATACGAAGCTAGTCGCTATATTTCTTTGCTTTCTTGTAATAGACCGATGTCTCTTAACAAGACCCACTCGCATGTAATGAACTACTGTAAGTGTAAACTACACAATGATATAGAAAAGAATCCTGGACCAAATAATACACAATATGTAGATCCTAGCAAGACAATAAGAGCACCATATAGCCAAGGTGATGCTATCATGTTTGGACAAAATGCAGGACAACAATGTGTTGCTATGACGAGCCTTAAACAAAGAACTAAGAAAGTATACANTGTCGTTTAATCCATTGTGTTAAGTTTTTATCTGGAATTTCTTTTCTTTTTAAAGGGCTACTTGGACGAAAATTTCGAATCTTAAGAAAAGACTTGGAAATCAAATAGACCTATTCATATGGGTCTAATAATCATGAAGCAGCAGATTTCAAGAAGATATTGATACAAATCCTTGATAATTTGGGCAAAAAAAGTTGGAGTAGATGACGTCATTTACTCAATCCTTTTGTTCTTCCATCTTTTGAATCAAAATTTATCTGATGTGGGATAATTCCAAAACAAATATTTTTCCGCAATTGTTTTTAAAATTTATCTGATGTGGGATAATTCCAAAACAAATATTTTCCCGCAATTGTTTTTAATTGATATCAATGAGTCATATATTTGTATTGCTTGAAGTTTTGAAATAAGGCCATTTTCATGCAAGTAGCACTTTAAGTCTGTTTCATTAAGACTGACGCAAAAAATCATGGCTGTACTTGTATTGTGATAGAATTTGAAAACTTGCAGTTGATCATTTCCTTGCAGGCTTTCCTAATATCTCGGTTCATGAAGCCATAAATGATGGGGTTTATCAAACAGCCCAACAGTGGCAATGATTGAAGCAGTGGTTCTGCCGTGATCTTTGAATCACTATTTTGTATTACCATGGTGAGCAGGAGCAATGGTATAATGCTAGTGAAGAGAAGTCCCACAGCAATRTAYGTKGCCATTTTGGCAGCCTTACGCTCTGAACTGGTCAAGGTTGTTACGTTTGCTTGCTCACTTTGTGCTTGAATTTGACGATTGAGCTTTGAGATCACTCTCCAAATAGAGACTGCGAAGATAAAGGTTGAAATAATGCATATGGCAAACGGAAGCACTACAAGAAACCTTCCCGCTTCAGAAAAAACGCGGATAACTGTCAGCAAATACCCTGCAAGGATGGACACGAGTGCAGTGTTCAATATACGCCTTGCTGTGACGTTGACGCGGTGCCAGTAAGGGAATCGAAGATTAAGAGCGACGTATTTCTCTAAGTTCATACCAGCAACTATGATGTCAGATACGATCGATGCCCTTAGAGTAAATCCTACCAAAACAGGACATTTTGGGTCGTGTTCCATTTGGTAATTGATTTCCTTCGAAATGAAAAACGCGCCACCAATTCCAGCTTTGACCAGATCGTTTGCTGCCATAATACAATTATGGCATTGCTTTGGGTTCGTAGAGATGGTTTGTTATAGAATGCTAAAAGCACCAAAGAGTTGAGAACAACAGCAAAAGGACAAGCGGSTCCAGTCGTTATTACAGCTGCGAGGGAAGCTTTGAGAGAGGCAGGCGTTGCCAACTGTGGATTTTTTAATTCTTCTACGGAGTTGCATGTACTTGATAACGCATGTAAGAAAAATTCCATGTCTGATCTCTAGACGTATTACCGTATTATTATGCACTTTATATTTTGAAATTTTTAGCGTTGATATGTACAAGCTGAACCATATCTGTCCCACATTTTTAAAAGAAAAATCTGATAATCATGAAGACGTTTGGATAAGTTTATTAACACTTTCAATTTTTTCTTAACGTTTCTGTGCAATTATGAAACGAAAGTCGAATTCAATACGGTGTTCATTTACTCAATACAAGAATATTACTATGCTATAACAATTCCAGATCTTCACAAACGAAAAACTTCATTTCTCCTTGAAAGTCTTCTTTCCATGTGGTTGTGTATGTGTTTGTTCTCATTCGGAATTGTGTTTTCCTATTGAGTCATTGCAAGCATTGATCGATCCACAAAGCTATATCTATACTCTCTGAGAGGAAAGTTATCCTTTATCGGGGGTCTGAATGGGGAAGTCTTTAACACTAAACGCTTTTTTTGGACTCTGTAACACGAAACATTAAAATTTCAGGCCTTATAACACTAACAGTTAAAAAATAGCCGTAACAGTTATTTTTTTTCCTCGAAAAAATCAGGTAAAATGTGAACAATACATCCTATATGACCTGCAATAAGCAATTTAAGTAGT